AAAAAGGAAAAAACTAAATAAGTTGATTAAATTCATTCAGTTAAATATATATTCAAAGATACAGCAGTTGTCAGTGAGGAAGAAGAAATTCTACATGTGAGAAAACTACCAATCCAACCAAGAAAGGCAAAGAAAGTTAACACATAGGCAAGATGTATGTAAGTTAATAAAAAGGTAAGCTTGGCCAGTCCTCAGATAAAAGAATAGAAGAGAAAAGAAAACTCAGATCCTAAGGGTTAATTGCAGAGGTGGACAACTGCTTGCATTTATTGACAAACTGACCATGAATTGCAGGGAAAGTTGAGATTTTTCTTGTATCTGGGTCAGTCTCCCCCATAACATATTTCATTATGTTTTTTTCCTAATACTTTAAAAAAATATTTTTATTTTTTATTCATTTATTTTTGGCTGTGCTGTGTCTTCATGGCTTAGCGTGGTCTTTCTCTGATTTTGGCAAGCGGTGACTATCCTTCCTTGTGCTGTGCAGGCTTCTCATTGCGGGGCTTCTCCTGTGGGGCACAGGCTCAGTACTTATGGCACATGGGCTTAGTTGCCTCAAGGCAGGTTGATCTTCCTAGACCAGGAATTGAACCCACAGTGGCAGGCGGTTTCTTAACCACTGGACCACCAAGGAAGTCCCTCCACTATGTTTGGAGATTGTTAGAACCACAGACTCTCAGAAGCCATCCAGTCTAACTGACTACTGATTTGCTGTTACTTTTACAATTTAATGTGAAGGTTCATAGTCTCTCAGAAGCATCTTTTTTTCTGTTTAAAATGTAACCTTAAAAGGTTTGCTGGTACATGATTTTATCCATGTAGGCACATGCCATTCATTTTGAAAGTGTCAACATGCAGAAAAATAGGATCCATATGCATGCACAGACTGGTTCCAAATTGGGAAAGGAGTATGTCAAGGCTATATATTGTCACCCTGCTTATTTAACTTATATAGAGAGTACATAGTGCAAAATGCAGGGCTGGATGAAGTACAAGCTGGAATCAAGATTGTAGGGAGAAATATCAATAACTTTAGATATGCAGACGATACCACCCTTATGTCAGAAAACAAAGAAGAATTTAAGGAATTAACAAGCCTCTTGATGAAGGTGAAAGAGGAGCGTGAAAAAGTTGGCTTAAAACTCAACATTCAGAAAACTAAGATCAGGGCATCTGGTCCCATCACTTCACAGCAAGTGGATGGGGAAACAATGGAAACAGTGACAGACTTTATTTTCTTGGACTCCAAAATCACTGTGGAAGGTGATTGCAACCATGAAATTAAAAGACGCTTGCTTCTTGAAAGAAAAGCAATGACAAGCCTAGACAGCATATTAAAAAGCAGAGACATTACTTTGCCTACAAATGTCCATCTAGTTAAAGCTATGGTTTTTCCAGTTGTCATGTATGGATGTGATAGCTGGACAATAAAAAAGGCTAAGCACCGAAGAACTGATGCCTTCGAACTGTGGTGGTGAAGACTCTTGAGAGTCCCTTGGACAGCAAGGAGATCAAACCAGTCAGTCCTAAAGGAAATCAACCCTGAATATTCATTGGAAGGATTGATGTCAGCATCAATGTCAGCTGAAACGCCAATACTTTGGCCACCTGGTGTGAAGAGCCAACTCATTGGAAAAGACCCTGATGCTGAGAAAGATTGAAGGCAGGAGGAGAAGGGGACGACAGAGGACGAGATGGTTGGATGGCATCACCAATGCAATGGACACGAATTTGAGAAAACTCCAGGAGATGGTGAAGGACAGGAAAGGCTGGTGTGCTGCAGTGTATGGGATCTCAAAAAGTCGGACACAATTGAGTGACTGAACGGTAACATGCATGCACATGCTCAGCACCCACTTTAGCATAAAATAAACAATACTGTAAGCAATGTGTCCTCTGCTCTCTGGTGTATCCCGTATATCCTGGATGTGTCTTGTCTCTAGTATTCTCTGGATATTTTACCTGGTCTGACAATAGTCTCCTTCACATTGCTGGAAGTCAGGGATTGGGTGATGGTCTTGGAATTAATTCTAGATGCATACAGATAGGTGATTGAATGATGCCTCAGGTGGTGGTGAGCTTCTAGCGTTCTCCAAGTATTAAATGCCAGACTTCAGAAGCTGGAGCAGCCATCCTTATGGCAACAGACCTCCAGCGGCCTCCGGGTAGAGGGTAAGACATATTCATCTCTGCCCAGCTTTCATCCCCTTCCTGTGCTGCTGCCAGGATGGCAGTCTTCTAAGTCCTAGTCTAATAAGTTCTGTCAACCCATTGCCTTTGAACCAGCCACAACTTCATCATTTTTCAAATTAGGGTAAACAATTTGATTCCTAACTGGGACCATCTGCCCTAGATAGGCAAAATGATTACTCATGCCCAGCTTACTAGCCCTCTCCCCAATCTTTCCAAAGCCTCCGGGAGCACCATATGCAAATGGAGGGTCAGTCTCACATAGTACAGTTTTCCACTTCATCTGTGCCTCTTTTGTGGAAGTTACCTTGAGTGCTCATCTCCCCACCAATAGACCAAGGACCCCAGAAGTCCTCTCTGGCACACTCTCCATAGAGGATCAGTTTCCTAGGAGATGAGGGTCAGGGAAAGCACGGTAGAGAATAGGCTTAAACTGGAGTTTTGCCTTGGGAGGAGCATTCTAAGCAGGTCCTAGAGGGCCTTGGACAGGCAGGAGGCCTCTATTCCTAGCATTCCCCCACCCCTTCCATTAGTCCTGGAGTATCACCCACAGCAGTGACTGAATGCCAGGGGAGTGGGATGCCTTCTAGGAAAGGAATTAAAATACAGGCGGGAGGACTTTTATAGGGGTATATGCAACCTCCACTCCATTAGAGAGCCTTTGAAGTTTTTTAAATGGAAGAATAACAGGATTAGATCTTAGAAAAATGACTCCTAAGTAGGAATATACATTTCCAGCTCCCTAAGCAACATGTCTACTGAAAAGTCCTGCAAGTTCTCAAGATCTTTGTATCAATGTTTGTATGGGACACCCAATAAACTGCACATAAAGGGTACAATTGGATCAGTTTTGACAAATGTATACACATTAAATTATCACCACTATCCCAATCAAATCACCCCAAAGTTTCTTTGCCCTTCTTTGTAATCCACCCTCCTTACTACTCCCACCCTCTACCACCATCACCACAGGTCTTCCTGTCATTCCTGTAGACATTAACATGCCTTGGGCCCGTCAGTCTTTCTCCAGGGAAAGAACACATTGGCAGGAGGCAGCTGAAGCTGAGTATTCCAGTGACAGCAGCCAGGAGGGGCAGTCCATGCATCCCTGCTGCAGACATCCATAGACTGGTTCTTTCTGCAGCCTGCCTGTCCTTCAGTTCTGTGAGCTGCAGAATATCCTTCCATCGTATCCTTTAGTGCTGAATTGTGTTAGTTTGTTGCCAGAAACTGGGAAACTCACATATAATGCACTTCCTCCTATAGTCACCATTTCAGGAAATGTTACCACCAGTTCTACTCTCTCAAGCCTAACCTAAAATAATTCCTTAAAACTGCAGTCTTCCTCACATGTCCCCTCTCACTCATTGCTAAATCGTGCCTATTCTGCTCCCTGCTGAGTATTCTGTCTCTGCAAAGTTCTCACTACCCCCGCCCCCACCCCCCACCCCGCTCCGCATCACTGTGTCTCTAGTACTCAGTGCAGTGCTTGGCAGACTACTCAATAAATTCTTGCTCAATGACTGAATGAATAGTGACATCATCCATCACCCCCAGAAACAAAAGCCAAAATGGATGAGCGCTTGTATATGTATGCATATTTATCAGGGTAGCAGGACTTCAAAGTGAAAAAATTTTTTAAATTTATTATTTATTTACTTTTGGCTGCACTGGGTTTTCTCTAGTTGTGGTACGCAGGCTTCTCATTGCAGTGGCTTCTCTTGTTGCAGAGCACGAGCTAGGGTGCTTGGGCTCAGCAGTTGCAGCGTGAGGGCTTAGTTGCCCCTTGGCATGTGGAATCTTCCCAGACCAGGATTCAACCCATGTCCCAAGCATTGGCAGGCGTATTTTTAACCAGTGGACCATCTGGGAAGTGCTCAAAGTTAGTTTTTAATGTTTTCACAGAAGCAAATGATAGGACTTGAATCTAAGACTTCTGATTCCAAATTCCATAATTTCCATTACACTTTGTACCTATATCATGTATCCTTCCCCTTCACTTGGAGTTCTGTTTCTTCTTCCATCCTGGTCAGAGCCTTAGTTACATCAAGTACCAATCTGTAGACACTAGACACAGCTCTAAAATAAAACCCCCTTCCAAGGATAGTTGCATATTAACCAAAGGGCAGAGGAGGTAGGCAATAATGCATCTAGATTGAGGAGAGGAGCCTGTGGCCCCAGGCATCAGCAAAGTGTTACAGTCAGGAGGTAGGAGGAGCTGGAGGTCAGGGATGTGACTAAAGCTTTCTGTACCTGGGGTACAGTCAATAACCTCGCCTAAGTGCAGAACAGTGTGCTGGCCTGGAACAACTTCTTGTGTCCAAACAAACAAACAAACAAAAACCCATGCACATCAGAATAATACACAATCTGAAAATCTGTTCTTTTGGTTTTAAGTCCTGCAAAATGAGTGGTAAATCAAAGATCTGTGCATGAGTCTCTGAGTATATGTGGTTATATGTCTGTGTTATATGAGGACAGATGTCTATGTCTAAAGATGCTTTTGCTTTTTATAGTCTCACTATCATTTTAGCCCCACTTAATTAGTATATAAGGTCTTATTACTCTAACAATGCTAAAACCTGAATTAAATATTCCAAGTCCAACAGTCTTTTCTCCCAAGCCTGCTTCCCTCCCTCCCTTAAGTCTGCTCCTCAGCCTCCATTAATGCTAGGTCTTTAGAGACAGCCAGGATTCACAGTTTGAGAAACCAGAAATTAATGTTGGATCGTTAGTCCCTATGACCTACATCCTCTAGCTGAGGAGTTTCTCTGGGGAGGTGTATGTGGGGAAGTCCTGGCAGTTCCTCTTCAGAGTTGCGCATTTTGAACGGTGGACACCTAGAAAGTAAACATGATTGCATTAGATGTGGACCTGCCCTCCCACCAACCACTCAAGGGAAGAAAAAATCAATCTTCCTCTCCTGAATATATTTAGTGTAACGCACTGGCCTTTATGGGGCGGGGGAGGAGGATGTGAAACTGGCTATTGGGATTATTGTAAAGCCTTATTGCAGAGACTGTTCACTATCTCATTCACCATCTCTCTATGAGGATTCACAGAGGAGATTTCTTTCTTTTTTAAAAAATTACTTATTTCTAGCTGTGTTGGGTCTTGGTTGTGGTGCTTGGGCTTAGGCGACCTTCAGCATGTGGGATCTTAGTTCCCTGACCAGGGATTGAACCCATGTCCCCAGCAATAGAAAGCAAATCTGCAACCACTGGACCACCAGGGAAGTCCCAGAAGAGATATCTTTTCATCTTAGTAGCAGGAGTTGTTCTCTTAAGGAAGGGGAATCATAAAGTGGGTGAACTGATCAGGTTTCCCCTCTTCTTGGATGTTAGAAAGTCTGGAACCAATTCTGTGGTCTATTGTTAGTAAGTCTATTTTACAGAATGCATTTTTGTACTTGCCTAATTCATGGCTCCATTTTATGTCACTATCACTAATGTACAGAATTCTGCGTTACTTTACTACATTTTGTATGTGTGTGTATTTACCTTTTGTATGCTTTTTGTGTCTCTTAACTCCTTTTTGAAATAAGTTTAGGCATAACTAAATACATTCTTAAGAGATGGCTATGAGAAGGGATCAGGAGATCCAAGGCCAGTTGCGAAATGGGCACAAAGGAAGCCTCATGTACTCTTGATTCTTCCAGCTCCTACCTGCTTGACTTTGCCCTAAGGAATCTGTTCACTGCTGGGTTCCCCTCGCAGCCCACAGTGAGGATTCCAGTCTGCAGCCAAGCCTTGGTCCATCCCCAATCCCAGTCTCACCGCCCCCGTGTTCTCTGAGCATCTGGCCTCCTTACCTCTTCTTCAGGCTCGGGTGCTATGACATTGCTCTCTTCTGGAACTGCAGAGCCATGAAGCTGAAGACTTTGGTTCTACAAAAAGAAGAGTTCTATTGGTGAGATGTGGCTCAACCTCCCAGCCTGTCAGCTTAGAAGGGTCTTTTGTGCCTTACACTTTATAAGGGTCACAGGTAATACTAAGGGCAAACATATAAAGTTGTTTCACTGCAGCCTGGAAGCATCAGGGAACGCTTTATGTCATCCTCTTTTGGATTAGGAAAACAAGATTCAAAGGCTGAAATGACTTGCTGGGACAGGCAACCAGATCTTTGAATTCCAGAACTGTTTCCATAATTTGTGTGACATGCATCTATATAGATGTATTTATGTGACGGTCTGTAAGGATACAAATATAGGTCTTAAAACCACTAGCTACCACTTTTAGACTAATTCTCCTCAAGAATGCACACACTTAGATGATCCTAACCCATGGCAGTTAGGAGAGCCAAGTGGCATGATGTCTTTGGGAAAAGGTCTAGGTTCTGAGATGGAAGCCTGAGGCATGGAACTACTAAGCCAGGGGAAGACCTTGGCACTCTAAGGTTTTAAAAGAATTTTTAAAAATTGAAATTTAATTTATACACTAAAAAAGTCATCCTTTTAAAGTAAAACCTAACAGTATGATAGTCATGTGAAATTCTGTGATTTCTCCTTTCAGGAAAATTTCCTTATTCTTAATCCCTCTGCTGATTCTGGCCATGAATTACCTCAAGGTAATACTATCTCTGGGCTTCCATGGTGGCTCATTGGTAAAGAATCTGCCTGCAAGGCAGATGACGCGGGTTCGATCCCTGGGTTAGGAAGATCCCGTGGAGAATGAAATGGCAACCCACTCCAGTATTCGTGTTTGGAGAATCCTATGGACAGAGGAGCCTGGCAGGCTGCAGTTCATGGGGTCGCAAAGAATCAGACATGACTTAGTGACTAAACAACAGCAATACTACCTCCAAGTAAGTAAGTGCTACCTCCAAGGAAGTTACCAAAATCTTCATGTTCTCTCAGGTGATTCAAATGCTGGGCAAGAACAGATTTTCTCACAGTTATCTTTTTATTTACCCACTTTTATATGTGATAGGTCCATAGTTCTGCTTGAGAGAACATATGATTTATGATGTATCTGTGAGGGAGGTGAACAAATCTTATAGGGACACAAGCTTCAGAGGACTGATGATACTGACAGGCCAGGATCTAAGATGCTCTATTGCTTAATTCCACAGGAAAACTATGTCTCTTTAGCCACTGACTAAAGCAATGCCACAGGAGAGGCTGGGAGTAAGGAAAGATTATATAAATCTCAAATGTGAGGAGGTTGTGTCCTGTACCTCTTTTCCCTAGGAAGATAGTGTTACTAGCCTGTTCCTCAAAACAGTCAAGCAGCATCATGGCCCCCAGAATTTCCCCTTCAGTAAAATTGCTCCAAGAATGCAAACTTACTCACCTGAGCCAAACAGGTCATTCTATTGCTGCCTCTATACTAAAATCATACATTACAAAGTCAAATCTGATTTTGGATTTTCCATACAGTTGAGTTGCTTTTTTCAGTGCAGAAAAGTGGCTCTACTCTTCACTACACGAAAGCCCACATTGACCTTGTGCTTGTTCACTATCCACGTCCTGCATCTCTCTCTCATACAGAATAGCAACCTCAGACCGGAAGCCAGCCAAGGGCAAGTTTTATGTTCTGTGTGTTAGGATTTTCGATATCTCACACTGAGTCTCGTGAATATCCTTCCCAGGCAAGGATATAACACCCTTGATGACTCAGATTTTAGTGCCTCAGGGCAGTCAGTTGCGATGAGCTTATTGTCCTCCTGTCTTCTATCTTCCTTGTCTGGCCAGGCATCACAGCCTTGTGTCCTTTGTCTACGCTAGCTCCTCTCACACAGCAGGGAGCTGCCAAGATAGCCGGGTCAGCCTTCAGGTAGGCATATTCAGTAGTAGGGTGCTATGATCTGAGGTGCACCAGACTCTCACACTCCCAGATATCTACATGGTTCATGCCCTCCTGCACTGCCCAAGTGTCCCTTTTCTGACCACTGTTTAAAACCGCAATTCAGCACCCCCTCCTGGTGCCTTCCCCTACTTAATTTTTCTCTGTAATTCTTATGAACACTAAACTGTAATTTTACTTACTTATTCTGTTTCTTGTTTCTTTCCCCTCCACTAAAAGGTAAGATGCAGGAAGGCAGAGAATTTTGTTTGGCTTCACTCTAATAACCCCACTTCCTGGAAAAGTGTCTGGCACACAGAGGGGTTTAATGAATGATTGTGGAATGACTAAATGAATCTGAATGCCATCTAGTCAGATGCTGCACCATAACATTCTCCACAGTGTACCTGACAGGTAGGTGACCATATAGCTTAAGCTTCTAATATCAAGGAAGCGGAACTATTTTTCAAGGTGACTCATCCTTTGGTTTTTGGACGCTCCTGGTGCCCTCTTTCCCTGTATTAAAAAAAAGATTTTTCCCATGCCATTTTTTAACAGAGCTAATCTCTGAAAGTTCCTCTACATTGATTCAAAGTGTACCTTAAAAAAAAAAAAACTATACATAGGGCCTTTTTCTGTCCTCAGGAGTCTTGAAGAACAAGTCAAATCTCTCTGCTACAAGATAGACTTTCCATGTAATTTGAATAGAACATGACTTGATTTCCAGAACTTTCACAGAGGGTCTTGTCTCTATTTTAACACAATCCTTTTCTCATCAAAATTTTCACTTTTCAAAAGACCATCCTTTTGCTTTACTGTCCTCTATGAGTTCCTTCTAGGCCTCTCTCATCAAAGACAATGCCTTGGAAATTTGCTGATGCCATTTTGCTTGGGGTCTATTTACCATAGTTACAAGTATGACAAAGTGAAATGAGACCTTCCTCCCTACCTCACATTAAAAAAGGTAACGATCAGGATGTCAGTTGTAGGTATTTTATACTGGGAACTCCCAGAACTTGGAGCAAAAGAAAGTAAGAATTAGTAACAATCTGGTTATACTAATATTAAAAATAAGCCCTTTGCAGAAGTCAATTACCCTAGCAGTACAGATCACTAAACTAGTTGCTATCATGATGTGAAAGAAATCCCAGAACCAAAAAAGGTGTCCAAGAGTATCCTTGAAACTGTAATATAATGACGTAAAATCCTATCTACTGTGGGGTAACCTGAGCCTAGCAAAAATGGTCCACGTGGAGATGATAAAAGGGAATAAAGACTCAGCCAGATCTGTTCTCACCTGAGACATCATCAAAGTAGGGGACGTGCAGAGCTCTTCTGGGTTCGGACTGTCGGTGTTTTCCTTTGCTCTTACCGGCTTCTCTGGTGGCTGTGGGTCAGGAGAGGCCTCTGAGGAGGCCCGGGGGCTGGTGGGTGAGGCTGGAGGGCTGGAGGGCGTGTTCCCTAAGGAGGCCCTGGGACTGGGAGTGGCTCTGGGTGGTGGAGGCCTATTAGGTGGTGCTGAAGCCCTCTGCACAGAGACTCTCTTCTTCGGCTCTTCAGATCCTTCGCTTGAGGTACGAGTTCGGAGGACTACTACTGAGGAAGATGAAGCCTGCTCTGAAGGGGTCAGAGCTCTGCCTGGGGGTGGAGATGGGGAGCAAAGGAAAACTTCCTCCTGGGACTCTCTATCCTCAGTGAGGGGTGAGGGCTGGGACTGGGTGGGGCCATTGCAGGCCAGCTGAGGCTCTTCTTCCTCAGAGGAGCTTGTCTCCGCCTCCTCCTCTGTTTCCTTGTCTTTTAAGGGCTCTTCTTTAATCTGGGAGTTGTCTTCTCCCTGGGCTGAATCAGATGCCAGCTCTTCTTCACTTGCTGAGCTGGAGTCCTTCTCACTCTTCAGGGAAAGTGCAGAAGGACTGGTAGGTGAGGTTAGAGGGCTGGAGACTGTAGATGTTCGAACTGGGGGAGAGATGACTAAAGAGCGTCTGTTGCTGCTAAAAAAAGGAAGGGTATTTAGATTCAGAAGAGCTAAAAACTGGAAGTAACCCCAATACCCCAAATATATAATGATACATTCATATAATAATAAAACAGAAAAAAGCAATTTAAAATGGCATCAGAAAGTTTGTATAATTTGCAATAGTGCTTAAATTATAAAGTAAAGTGGAAAAAGGCTATAGAATTTTTATCCATATCACAATCTTGATTATCTAAAAATATATAAAGAAAAATAGACTGGAAAAAAACTCAGCAATATATTAACAAAGTATTTTCCTCGGGGAAAAACAGTTCATGAGTGAAATACAGTTGATCCTCATGGATTCTGTATTTGCGAATTCATCTACCTTCTGAAATTTATTTAAACCTCAAGATCAATACTTGTGATACTTTCAGAATCACTCTTGGACACATGCCGGCTATGAAGAGTGATTGCCTGACCAGTACTCTCTCAACTGAGGTCTAACAAGGCAAGCCTCTGCCTTCCTGTTTTAACTCTCTTAGTGCAAATATGTCCTGTTTGCCAAGTTTTTACACATTGTTGTGCTTTTCTTTGGTGATTTTGCTACTTAAAATGGCTTCCAAGTACAGTGCCAAAGTGCTGTTTGAGAACAGAAAGTCTGTGATGTGCCTTCCAGAGAAAATACATATGTTAAGATAAACTTCATTCAGGCATGAGTTATAGTCCTGGTGGCTATGGGTTCAACATGAATGCTGCTGCTGCTGCTGCTAAGTCGCTTCAGTCATGTCCGTCTCTGTGCGAACCCATAGACGGCAGCCCACCAGGCTCCCCCATCCCTGGGATTCTCCAGGCAAGAATACTGGAGTGGATTGCCATTGCCTTCTTCCAATATGAATGAATCAACAATATATATTAAATAAGATGTCTTTAAACAAATATACAAGAAAGGTTCTGTATGGATCACTTGATGAAAATGTTGGGACCCGGGGCTCCTAGGAACCTAACTCCATGTTTCCCCTAGGAGCAGTGGGTCAGTATTCACTAATTCAGTGCTTGTGGTGATTTCTAAAACAAAACTACCATGAACAACGAAAACTGACTACAACATTTATTGAGTATGCTGGATACTGTGCTGAGTATCTACAGCCAACATCAAATTAACTCCTACTCATCTCCTTAAGTGTCTCCTGTGTACCAGCCACTACCTGATTAAGCAACCCACAAGTATTTGCTTGATGTGTAGCAACTACGTGCTGTATCCTGGGTTCAAGGATGGGAGAGAGTGATAGGAAGAGAAAGGGAATAATTTAGTTCCAGCCCTGTGGGAGTTTCTGATGTAAGATAAACTAAGTGACATAGGTTCTTTCTAGCACTAGCATTTTATGGGTCAGCAGGTTTAGAAGGCCCAGGATATAGCAAGAAAAGATCAGATTTCTCTGCAAGGTTCTAGGACATCTTGGTGTAAATGATGGTTAATTTCAGATGAATGGACACTTAGAGAGAACTCTGGTTTTCAATGCTGGGAAGAGAAGAAATAGAGTTTTTGGAAAAGGGAAGTCTATATTGGCCCGTTAGGTATTCTTTTTAATAGTCTATAACTGACTGCTAAATGAATAGTACAAATATCAAATACAAACAACATACTGAGCCCCATTCTTTCTTCAAATCTCAAACTCAGTTTCAGCACCTCCTCAAAGTCTTCCCTGACCATCTATCTGCATATTGCAATCACTTAACTCTTGGAATCCCTAACTGGTCTCCTTAGGTGCTTAGTATGTGTAATTTCATATTGTCTTGTTTTCTTAGGCACATGTTGTGTCCTTCCAACTTCTGTAAGTCACTTCAGGGAAAAGACAAGTCACCTATGTCTCTGGATCCCTAACTCTCAGCATAAAACCTTGTGCATAGAAAGAACTTAATAAAACTTAAAAGGCTTTAGAATAAGAAAGTGATCACATTATGAAGGTAACAGACATACCACATTGACACACACAGGAAAGCAGGTCATGACAGGTTAAGAAAAGGTATTTGCAATGTGTATCACCAAAGGATTAATATCCAGGATATACAAAAAAACCCACCTCATATAAATCAATTTTTTAAAAAAAGTAAACAATCTACATGAAAAATGTGAATAAAGGATAAAGATGAAAGTCACAGAACAGGAACCTTAAAAGGTCAATAACATGAACAGATATTTAAGTTAACCAGCCACTGTGGAGACGTAATTAAAACTGCAAAAAATTCCATTTCATACCCATTTCCTTGGAAAAATTAAGAAGTCTGACAATGTCACATGCAGCAAGAATATGCAGCAGTGGGGCTTTAACTCACTGCCGGTGGGCTGTAAATTGGGACAATGGCTTTGGAGAGCAGTTTGGCAATGGTAATGTCTCGTAAGGCTGAAGGAACCCAAATGTACAGACTCTATGAGTCAGCAATTCCACTCCCAGTACAACCTAAAGAAACTCTTAATAATATTCATACAAGGAGAAATGTAAAACACATTCATCACACCATTATTTGTAATAGCATAAAACTGGAAGGCAATGTCAATGTCCACTAACAGTTCAGATAAACAGATTGTGAACTAGCCATACAGTAACATCCATCACAATTATGAAAAGGAAAGATCAGCGCTAACAACATGTAGCAACAAGGATAAGTAAATCTCAAAAACAATACTAAGAACAAAAGAATATATACAGTATAATTATATTTAAATAAAATTTAAAAAAATGCAAAATAGTATTTTTGTGTATTCACATATATGTATAATCAAAGTAAAAAAACATGCATGTGGATAATAAATACTAAAATTTAAGGCAGTGGTTACCCTTGCTGGGGGACAGGAAGAGAAAGTGAATGGGAAAGGGACACTGGGAGATTTAATTATATATATTATTTTTTCCTTTAAAAAGTTTTTATTTATCTATTCAGTTTTGGTTGCATCACTCTTTGCTGCTGCACACAGGCTTTCTCTAGTTGTGGAGAAGTGGGGGCTACTCTTCGTTGTGGTTTGTTGGCTTCAGTAGTTGTGGCACGTGGGGTTACTTGCTCTGCAGTATGTGGGATCTTCCTGGACCAGGGATCGAACCTGTGTCCCTTTCATTGGCAGGTGGACTCCTATCCACTGAGCCACCAGGGAATTCATTAGTTGATTTCTTAAATTTGGTGATGGGTATATGGCTATTTGTTGTACTATTCTTTATATCTTTAGTTATCATTGAAGTATTTCATAAAAGAAACATAATTTATTTAGGGGTGTAGCACAAACAAAAAACAATATTATGTACTTGGACACAAAGGAAAGGTCAGGATTTGGGATCAGAGATGAGAGTGCTGAATGTGTTCACACACAGGACAAACCAAACAGAAATGTCTCAGAAGCAGCTCACCTTGATAGTCCCTTCACCACAAAGACTTTGTCGGAATGTTGCTTCTCCAGTTTGCTCATCACCTCGTAGAGATTGTGGTTCAGCTGGAGCAAGCAAGAGAGGAGATATTAGCCACGTGGGAACCTGGGACCAACAAATTCCTTCTCTCCCCAAAATAAAACCTTCCTACCCTAAATGAAAAAATTCCTCATCTCTTTTGCATTAGTGTCTCAGTTGTGTCTTAATTTCTGTCTTTTCCGTCAGACTGGCAGTTCTCTCAAGGCTAGGTCCTTGATATCTGATGTTGATTTGAGGTTCTAGTTTCTCTCAGGTGACCCAGGGAACAAAAAGTCATTGTAATATCAACTAGGCAAACCATAATTTAGCCAAAGAAACTGTGGAGAGGAACATGTGTGGATATGGATGTGAATATAATTCATACTGTAACAGCAAGGTGTCTTGGAATTGCAGGACTAGAAAAGACCCCATGAGGTCATGTTCCATGGCTGCCCATCACTAAATAGGACTGGCCCTTTTCAAGACCAATGACCTGAGAAACTGAGCTATGTTTAAACACCGCCTCCACTCCCCAGCAACAGAAGACAAAGATTGCACAATTCAGTTCCCCACTTCAGCTGTTCCTTCTATAGTCCTAATCTCCTTTGTGCACCTGAAACTCGTTTGGAGACCATTCAGTTGTTAATGGAGCAGCACAGTCCATCAAGTGCTGTTATTTCACCATGAGAAAAAAGTAAACATCTGTGATGCCAATATGGATATTTAATGAAGTTATGTAAATTAAAGTGACCTTCATATTTATTAGAAAAACCCTCCTAGGTGTCTAAACGGGCTTCTCTGGTGGCTCAGATGGTAAAGAAATCTGCCTGCAATGCAGGAGACCCGAGTTCAATCTCTGGGTCAGGAAGATCCTTGGAAGAAGGGAATGGCAATCCACTCCAGTACTCTTGCCTGGAGAATTCCATGGACAGAAGAGCCTGGCAGGCTACAGTCCATGGAGTTGCAAAGAGTTGGGCATGACTGAGTGACTAACACTTTCAGGTGTCTAAATTGGCCAGATGTTTCTCACCTTGCTCATTTCCCTGTAGAAGACATCCCTCAGGTTGGAAATGTTTTGGAAGATGGTCACATAACAGCCAATACGACTATCAGGAAGCAAAAGAACACGTACAGTAAGTGCTGGTAAAGGAAGTCTCTGTTGAAGTATAAGGTAGATGCATAAGCCAAAGCCAGCCACTGCCGGGCTCCTCACAGAAAAGTACTCCATGGCCTAGGCTCAGGATGTTGGGACCTGGATTCGTCAAAGCCAGGACAGGAGTACATTAGACTCTCAAGAGTGGGACGGCAGGGGAGACATGACACCAAAGTATAACAAATCTCTATGAATGAAGTTTCCCAGTGGCTCAGAGGTAAAGAATCTGCCTGCAATGCAGGAGCCACAGGAGACATGGGTTCAAACCCTGGGTTGGGAAGAGCCCCTGGGAAGGGCATGGTGACCCACTCCAGTATCCTTGCGTGGAGAATCCCATGGACAGAGGAGCCTGGAGGGTTACAATCCACAGGGTTGCAAAGAGTTGGACACGACTAAAGTGACTTAGCATGTGTGAATGAAGTTATCTGATTCAGGCTCTTCAGATACTGAAGTAGATGTGAAAGTGCTTTGAAGAATTTTAGAAGTGATGTATAAGGCCATACAGCTATAATTATAATAAGTATTCTTTCTCAGTATGTGGTACTTGGATGTCTATGCAGCTGTATGTACATTAATGAAATTCTACTGTAAATGAACTGTGGAAGTTTACATTTAAAGAAACTATTAAATTTCAATTCTGTTTAAATTAGGAATCACATAATTAATATTTTAGAATACATGTAGTCATTATAAAGGATCCCTCATTCATAGACTAATATAAAGTGACAATATAAAATACTCTGACTACAACTGCATTAAAGCATATCTTGTACAATGAAAAGAAAATTGGATACAAATACAACTTCTGAGCAGATTCCTCTTCCAATGTGGGAAATTTATATCTAAAACATTTTTACCTACTGTGAAGCAAAAACATCTTCATTAATGTTAACACTCACCCCATGATTTATCTTCTATGTGAATCTAGATGTTCACGAACCAAGATTGTTTAAAACAATACACACTCAAGCATAAAACCAGATACTCCTAGCAAGCATGATGACAGCACTTTATTTGCCAAGATCTCTCCTACCTAAGAGACATCTTGTCTTTAAACCCGGAAAAGCTGGTATGGCAAAGAATCTCTGAATTGCAGATGAAGGAATCAAGGTCCAGAGATAAGGCAGTGAGCCTAATAACCCCAGCAGGTTAGGAGCAGGGCTGAAGCAACATTCCATTCTTGGACCAGGGCTCTTTTCAGGAGGCAACATGTTTGGGCTGCCCAGGGCCTGGGATCCAGCCCTCTTCTGAAACTCAGTCATTACCTGTTATAAAGGACAGGCAGCTCCTCTAGTAGTTCCTGGTTCAGATCTTCAAATACAACCTGGGCTTTGTTGAACTCTTCCTCTGCCTAGGTAGTAAGAGAGACAGACCAATTCCCCTTATTCCTCAACCCAAAGCTAGAGATTGCTTCCTCTCTCTTCTGCATTTTTTCAGGGACTAGGCTTACTAGGAAATATGCCTCTCCTTCCCCAGACCTGTGTCCTCCCCAGCCTTGAGTCTGACTATCCTGAGAGCATTGGTGTCAGAGGAAACAGGATTTCCTTGAAGACACTGGAGGCTGAATTTTTCATTTCCTAAACCGAACTTGGCTCAACCACCTGCCAAAATTGTGGGGAAAGGGAGGGCAGGAAGGGTTTTACCAGGGTTTGTTTTTTTTTACCTTGGCTGTCTTGGCCTCATCTTTCTTCTTGGCATTCTGTACCGCCTCCAGGTGATGTCGGGCACTGTCGTAGTCCACGAGCTTCCGGCCCCGCTTGGCGATTCTTTCCTAACCCAGAGTCAAGAGAGAGGACCTTGATACTCACTTTTAAGTGGCCAGGATGTTGGTAACAGAGTATCAGAGGCAGCATTCCTGTCCTATTATCAATTTTTATTGCACTTTCTAACAGGGTTTTGTGCTCAGGGATCTCCCTCATTATCTGGAAAGAATGGGGAATTCTCAGGGGGAGAGAGTAGAGGGCAATCCCCCAGAGCACCTGGAAGCCTATACTGAACTGCAACATGTCCTACGACACTATTAGAAACTGGTTCAGCACCCAGAAGAAATGGCCTTGAGAAACATACTAAATTGAAAGTCAGGAGTTTTTGGTTTTTACTCCCAACGCTACCATTTATTAGCCTTGTCACCCAGGGCAAGGCATGCGTCTTGGAGCCTCAGTAGCCTCATCTGCCCTGTTGTTGTTTAGTTGCTCAGTTGTGTCTGACTTTTGTGACTACATGGACTGTAGCCCGCCAGGCTCCTCTGTCCATAGGACTTCTCAGGCAAGAACACTGGAGTGGGTTGCCGTTTCCTCTTCCGGGGATCCTCCTAATCCAGGGATTGAACGCATGTCTCCTGCACTGGCCGGTGAACTCTTTACCGCTGAGCCACCAAGGGCTGATTTCCTTTAGGATGGACTGGTTGGATCTCCTTGCAGTCCAAGGGACTCTCAAGAGTCTTCTCCAACACCACAGTTCAAAAGCATCAATTCTTCAGTGCTCAGTTTTCTTTATAGTCCAACTCTCGCATCCATACATGACTACTGGAAAAACCATAGCTTTGACTAGATGGCCCTTTGTTCGCAAAGTAATGTCTCTGCTTTTGAATATGCTGTCTAGGTTGGTCATAAACCTTCTTCCAAGGAGCAAGTGTCTTTTAATTTCATGGCTGCAGTCACCATCTGCAGTAATTTTGGAGCCCCCCAAAATAAAGTCTCTCACTGTTTCCACTGTTTCCCCATCTATTCGCCATGAAGTGATGGGACCGGATGCCATGACCTTTGTTTTCTGAATGCTGAGTTTTAAGCCAACTTTTTCACTCTCCTCTTTCACTTTCATCAAGAGGCTCTTTAGTTCTTCTTCACTTTCTGCCAAAAGGGTGGTGTCATATGCATATCTGAGGTTATTGTTGTATCTCCCAGCAATCTTGATTTCAGCTTGTACTTCATCCAGCCCAGCATTTCTAATGATGTACTCTGCATGTAAGTTAAAGAAGCAGGGTGACAATATACAGCCTTGATGTACTCCTTTTCCGATCTGCAACCAATCTGTTGTTCCATGTCAGGTTCTAACTGTTACATACAGATTTCTCAGGAGGCAGGTCAGGTGGTCTGGTATTCCCATTTCTTTAAGAATCCTAAAGGATATCAGTCCTGAATACTCATTGGAAGGACTGATGCTGAAGCTGAAGTTCTAATACTTTGGCCACCTGATATGAAGAACTGACTTGTTTGAAAAGACCCTGATGCTGGGAAAGATTGAAGGCGGGAGGAAAAGGGGACAACAGAGGATGAGATGGTTGGATGGCATCACCGACTCAGTGGACATGAGTTTGGGTAAACTCCAGGAGTTGGTGATGGACAGGGAGGCCTGGCGTGCTGTAGTCCATGGGGTTGCAAAGAGTTAGACATGACTCAGTGACGGAACTGAGACACCAGGGAAGTCCAGCTGCCCCATCGTGTTATTTTAAAGATCAAATGCTGAATATAAAGTAGCTTGAAAATCCTAAAGCATAATAATAAAAATGGCAAACTATTATGAGCTCTGAGAGAACATCTACTCAATCTCATACCAACTACAAATTACACTAGAGAGAGGCAAATCATGGTAATGGCTTTGTCTTGTTCTCTCAACCACAGAACTTGAAAGGATCTTGTTAATTATCTGACCCAACTTCCTAGTTCACAAAGCTTATCTACAATATCCAAGATAAGAAGTAGTTAGACTTCTGCTTGAACAGAGAATAGACAACTCACTATCTCTCAGTAGATTTCATTTCTTTTTTGGAAAGCTTTAGCTATGAGAAATTTAAGTGAGGCTTCCTTTAATTTCTTCTTATATTAATCTAAAACCAGCACAGTGCTCAACAGAGTAGATGTTTAATAAATATGAGTTGAATGAATTAATGAATTCTAATTCTACTTTCTGGAACAGTTTAGAACAGGCTGAAGTCCTCTTTTACCTAACAGGCTTTCAAATATTTGAAGATAATTATTATGACTCCTCTAGGTCTTCTCTTCTCTACAATAAATATCTTTAGTCCCACCAGCTATTTCTCACAACAAAAAGGGATGCTCTGACCTGGATCTAATTCAAAACCAGCCCAAATCTAGTTCACTGAAATCTAAATCTAAATGTAATCTTTACACTATCTCTAACTCTTCACCCTAACCTCTTGTGTAAACCCTCAACTTTCAATCTTTTTCCTAACCTACCCAATTTCATTCCTAACCATGGGCTCTAACTCTACCTGTACTTTTACCCAAGTGAAAGTGAAAGAGACGTCACTCAGTCAAGTCCGACTCTTTGTGATTCCCCGGACCGATGCCTACCAGGCTCCTCTGTCCATGAAATTCTCCAGGCAAGAATACTGGAGTAGACTGCCATTCTCTTCTCCAGGGGATCTTCCCTGGAGATCATGTCTTCTAACTTACATGGGCCACTCATAACCCATCCTTGATGCTGTAAACTGATTACCTTAATCTCATGTAAACTGATTACCTTAATCTCACTGAACTGGGCCACATAGTTTTCCATGGTCCTCAAAGCCTGGTCAGCTAGTTTCTCTTCATAGTCTTCCCAAAGGAGATCATTATTCTGTAGGATAGAGGCAGAGGGCAGTGGTAAGGGCCCTGCTTCTCAACAGCAACTTCATTCCAGGGAAATATCCCAATTCTTCCTGCGACAAACTTCCTTAGGGAGCACCAATATTTTTAAAAGGTCATTTTGACACTGGGGAAAAGTCAGATGAAGAAACAGCTCTTCCTTAGGGAAGAGCTATAAGAGACTGGACATACATTCTAGGGATTAGAATCCTTAGAATGAAGAACAGTCTTGGACTCTAGAGTTTGAAGGATAGGGAAGTTTGGGAGCAAATGACTGCATAAAGTTAGTTTTCAAAAACAACCAACTGAGTTTTGTGTAGGTAAAACTTTCTAAGGTTTTCAAGAGAGGGAGAAGATAAACAAGAGGTATCCACAGATGAGGGAAAACTTGCTTTTACCTTCATAGTTACAGCTCCTTCCTACCACCTGTGACCATGGCTATACAAATAAACGGTGTGAATTGGCTCCTTTGTTCTCCTGTTTGCTTGGACAGAGAAGCTGGGATGAGGCTGAGATGAGGGTAGGGTGACTTGAAGAACTGTAAAGCCCAGAATACTCTTACCGCCACGATGGCCTTCAGCTCCTCATGACCATCCCACTTGCTGCTGTAGATCTCCTGCAGGGTTTCTGACACTCTCTTTGAACTTTCATGCATCACTGAAAGGAGAGAACTCAGTGCTACCATAAAGTAGTCTGACGTAATCATATAGGTGACAGGCAAATCAACGGGGCTAATCCAAAAGGGCAAACTCCGTAGGTTTGGGCTGTCAGTGAGGGAAGCTGGGTGGGGTTGGATAGGAAAAGTTACTCTTCCTTGGTCCACAAAGTTCCAGGGGTCAGGCACAGGCAAGTGATGAAAAGCCCGAGTACAGCTGGTTTTTTTCCATCCCCTAGACCTCTTAGTAGCTGCATAAACACCATCTGGATCCCCCTGTGCTCCCTGATACTCACCTTTGACTGCACTGAGGAAGTTCTTCAGGTCCTTGTATAGCTTATGACCTTCTGCCTGAAAGGGAGAAGTGCCTCTGATGACTAAAGAGATACATCTGGAAATATGCTCTAGGGGTCAAGGTTGAAAAGTAGGTTAAAAGCAGAAATCAGTCCTGGAATTTCTTCAAACATTTGCAAATGCTATATATCAGCTTCTAGTCTCTTTATCAAGAAGTTGTAGGTTGTCTGCTTTGGGACAAATTTTAAGTTGTGAAACTGCTCCCACTGCACTGGCATGTCTTTTTTCCTCGGTTTGTTCTCCCCAGTGAACGAGAATCCCCACCCAAATTCCTCTGCTGGAATTTAAGGGTCCTATGTGACGCTATCTGTGTGACCCTCCAGCTGACTCTGTCCTCTCTGGGTAGATAAACTACTACCATTTTCTGCAGACACCAGGCTCTCTTCTTTCTTTGTACTCTTGACACAGGCCATTCCTGTCCTTCCCTGCACTTCCTTTTTTCTTTTGGTATTTATGTTTTAATCAACAACACTCTTTACCAGGTGTAATTATATGTAGGTCTTATGAAAATTTAGGTTCACTGTCATGAGACTAAATTGTGTCATCTCCAGGAAGATTTTGACCAATTTATGTGCATATGGGATCGCTTGCTCAGTCATGTCCGACTCTTTGTGACCTCATGGACTGTAGCCCACCAGGCTCCTCTGTCCATGGGATTTCCCAGGCAAGAATACTGGAGTGGGTTGCCATATCCTTCTCCAGGGGGTCTTCCCTACCCAGAGATCAAACTCGCATCTCATACATCTCCTGCATTGGCAGGCGGACTGTTTACCACTAACCAAAGTATAGTTGTTTTTTTTTAAATTAATTTTTATTGGAGTAAGGTTGATTTACAAGGTTGTGTTTGCACTTCATTTTTTAATAGCTCTCTTACGTCTCCCCACTGGTCCTAGGTTGGTCTTCTGTATTCAGAGCAGACTAGTCTCTCTTGCACACAGCTTTGAAGACATATTTCACATGGTCTTCTTTTTCATAGGCCTCCTCAATTGTTCCTCATGGTGTTGTCTGAGACCCATTCCATCTGGACTCCTTCCTCTGTGTGAATTCTAGTTTCTAGGAATTGAGTGAGAAGGAATTTTGACCCCAGGCCATCAGCATTTTGGAGACTGACACTCCCAACATTTGGAGTGTGGGACTGGATGGACAGCCCACGTCAAGGGTATCCAACAGAGCCAGGCCTGCAGACCCGTGCAGTAATCCTCCGTTCAGATGATCTGAGCTAAAAGGCATTTTGCAGTACATCATAAAAATACTTGTGAGCATATTTGCTTGTTTTATTCGCTTATGTTCATTATAGGTAGGCTGTTGAGTATACCAAGAGTATCAAAAAGTTAAGAGAAAAAAGATGAAAACTCAGAAAATTCTATCTAATAATTTGAAAGTTTTAAACTGTGGAACTGTTTGTGGGAAAAATCATTATTACTTAATTTCAGCAGCAGAAAAACTAGGTCTACTTGGTCAACTAAACAAAGGAAGCTAGATGATAATCATCCATCTTCTTGCCTCCAGAGCTCACCTCTAAGCCAGTTCAAACTCTTGACCATACCTCAGGCTAAAAGTCTTTTTCAAGGGGCTGCATGGCAGAGCTCAAGGGACACAAAGACACAGATGGTCTCAAGGGAATCTGAGGCGCCACCAGATGGGTGGGAGAAGAACTGGGATCATATGTGTGGCATAGCAAACAAGGATCAAGGGAATATCCTGACAGGAGAAGGGTAAGATGCAACAGAGAGGTTAGAATGCAAGAAGAATCCGTAAATCACTGAACCTGGTAATTGGAGGTCATGGGTGACCTTGAGAAAGTGCTTTTAATAGTGTGATAGAGACAGATTCAGTTAACAAAATTCAGAAACAGCATTCACCAGGAAAGATGTCTCACTTCCTCTTTGCTTTGTCATTCACAGAAAAATGTTTAAACAGTCTAAGATGTACATAATATGTTTTAAACATGGATATGGTAGGTGGGTATAACTTTGAGAGTTTTGAAAACGTGATAACCACAATTTGAAAGAGATTGGAGGATTATATAAGTTAACAAGGATTTTAATTTCATTTTTGAAAGAAAACAACATGGTCTCAACTTTTTACTTAACCATGAAGATTTGGTCTCCAGAATACAAATGTGAGTAATAAAAACTGTTAACTATCTTGTATAATTTCTACAAATGAAATTGTTAATTTTTTATCCCGTTAGATATTATATGACCTGAAAAATCAGATTAGTAATCAAGGCTACCATGTATGATAATGCAGGTTATATGTACACTGTTCAAAACTAAGGGTACTATTTATACCATTGTCCTTAAGATGGGAATGCTTCTGCCCTCCACTGCACCTCACAAAAGCCCAACTCCATTTCTGTGTTTTAGATCAAGTGTCTTGGTCTAAGTTCTTCCTGTATGCTCTTGCTCTTTCCTTTGGGGAGATGAAGAGAGAGAGTTTGTGCGGTGGTGGTAGTGGGTGCTAGAGACATGGGACAGGACCGGTGTCATTTTATTTCTTTGACCTGAAATAATATCTCCAGGCTGAACAATCACAGCATCTTTTTTCTCTCCGGACAGATGGGGCTCTGACAGTCTTAGCCTCCCACTTGTCTGGAAGTCAAAAACTTGTTTCTGCCACCAACTAGCAAGTTATTCTACTTCTCTGGCTTTAATTTCCTCATCAATAAATATCAACTAAGCCTAGCTCTAAATGTTAATTCTGGCTCTAAATATTATAATTTTATCGCTTCTGCTCTCTCAGTTCAGTTCAATTGCTCAGTTGTGTCCAACTCTTTGCGACCCCATGGACTGCAGCACGCCAGGCCTCCCTGTCCATCACCAACTCCTGGAGTTTACTCAAACTCATGTCCATTGAGTCGTTGATGCCATCCAACCATCTCATCCTCTGTCGTCCCTTTCTCCTCCTGCCTTCAATCTTTCCCAGCCTCTAAATCCTTGCAAAATTCTTGATGGCATCATAAAGAGTCCAAGTTCGTCCTTCCCATCCCTTAAACAAACAGTCCCAGCCCTCGGTTAATGAATCACTCACTCTGGAAGCTTGTGCTAAGCACTCAGGTAGACAGAGCTCTGTCCTAACAGACTGGGGTTCTGAGGATGGAGAAGTCCGTCCTGGGGTTCCCAACTTGCTAGAGAAAAACGGACTCAGAAAAACACAAACACTCAGCAAAATAAGAGCATGACCAATCCTGAGCAAGTGTTGACAGTTCTTGATCTAATAGAGGTCCAGGAGGGAAAGATGAAGCTGGATTGTTAGATGTGGTTTTAAATTTACTTATTTATTTTTGGCTGGGTCTTCGCTGCTGTGTGCGGGCTTCCTCTAGTTGTGATGAGCAGGGACTACTCTCTGGTTGCTCGGGCTTCTCAATGCAGTGGCTTCTCTTCTTGTGGAACATGGGCTCTAGGCAGTGGGCTCAGTAGTTGTGGCACACGGACTTAGTTGCCCGGCGCCATGTGGGATCTCCCTGGACCAGGAACCAAACCTGTGTCCCCTGCATTGGCAGGGGGATTCTTAACTATTGGACCACCAGGGAAGTCCCTAGATGTGATTTTAAAGGCAATGAATTGGAAGCAGCTGTCACTATTAGAAATAAGAGATGAAAATGCTGCTTGAGAAAAATAATTCTTCCTATATAAAACATTTTGAGGAAAGGGAGAGGGGGAAACAAGCAGAGTCCTCAAAGAAAAATTACTTATGAAAATTTGAGTAAGCACCTAGGCAAGTGTCTAAGCCTTGAAATCTGGCTGGGTAGTTTGAGAGTAATATTTATTTATTAATAAAAAGTTCACCTATAAACTGGTTGCAGGTGAAAGGTAGGGCACATGACCAGCTGGTCCAACTTCTGGAAAACTTCACTCACTTTCAATTTCCTTGAAAGTGAAAGTAAAAGTCGCTCAGTCGTGTCCAACTCTTTGCGACCCCATGGACTATAGTCCATGGAATTCTCCAGGCCAGAATACTGGAGTGGGTAGCCTTTCCCTTCTGCAGTGGATCTTCCCAACCCAGGGATTGAACCCAGGTCTCCCGCATTGCAGGCAGATTCTTTACCAACTGAGCTATCAGGGAAGCCCAACTGCATTAACCTTGTCCTTTTTCCTCCTGTTCATTTTAGACACCCAAGTCCAGCTTCAGACCTGACTGTATATTCACTGTTTTTCTCCCTAAACTGTGAAAGCCTTGAGAACAGGTGTGCTGTATTGTTTGTATGTAGCAAGTACCTATGAAATGGTTGTTAATTAAACTTTCCAAGCATATTCAAACACCAGTTACTGTAGGTGCATCATTCTCTCAGGAGAAGTGCTTTCCCTTATTCCTAATTTAACTCCATTTCATTTCTCAAATATATTTCCTCACTCAAATGACCGTTAGTTGGTGGGCTCATACAGGGAATACTGAGGGGGTTGTCCCATCTGATCCTCTTATTCTTCTTTATGGCTCTTCCTTCATCTCCTACCTTTTCTACCCACACATCCGCCTTTCTAGGTCCACCCTATAAGGCAGAGAAAGAACCGAGGGCCAGATGGGCCGAGAATCAGAAACCTTTCAAAGTATGCTTCCTATCTCGGAGCTGGAAGCAGAGCAGCAGCTGCAGTTGAGAAGAGGCCCAGGGAGGCCTCCATGTGAGGTACCGGGGAAAAAAGCAAAGGCTTTTAAGTTGGAATCCTAGCTCTGCAGCTCTTAAGTCATGTGACTTTGATTAAATCACTTCCCTCTCAATCAGATCCTATTTCCCCTTGATGGAGTTAGATTAGATCGGTGGTGGCCAAATGCTGTTCTCCCGCTGCTATGTCATAATTACTTAGGAAGCTTAATGTAAAACAGATATTCTAGTTAATGATCACCTATGGCTGTTAATATCACACAAAAAAGGAGACAATCACATACTATGTGTCTCCAATGGAAGAATGTAACACCTGTAATAACAAGTGTTCTTGCTTCCAAAACAAACAAAAACAAAAATCTGAATCTCATCAACTCTCTATCTAACTATTAAT